GTTTGGTAGCACTGTAAGTTAACTGTAGATATGTAGTGTTTTGGTAGTACTGTAAGTTAACTGTAGGTATGTAAAGATTTGGTAGCAATGTATGTTAACTGTAGGTATGTAGAGATTTGGTAGCACTGTAAGTTAAATGTAGATATGTAGTGATTTGGTAGTTCTGTAAGTTAACTGTAGTGTTTTGGTAGCACTGTAAGTTAACTGTAGGTATGTAGTGTTTTGGTAGTACTGTAAGTTAACTGTAGTGTTTTGGTAGCTCTATAGGTTACCTGTTTTAAAGCTAAACGTTGTTCTGGAAGACTACGTTTATTTTTTTTAATTCTATTAGATATCTTTCTGCTTTCGTTAGTGATTTCCAATTAGTAAAATGCCCTCTGATTTCTTGTTTTAGGACACAAAGGATTGAGAAATGCAAAAGGCATTAAATAATTCTGTTATGTTATGTAAAGACTTACCTGGTCCAATAGCAAACATCACAACAAATCCAATTACACAAACAATACTCATATATGACAACCATGGTATTGATGTCTGAAAATAAACAAATTCATGGTGTTAGCAGTAAATTCAATACATTTCAATGACCTTATAATTGTATCAACATATATCATTATTGCTTCATCTATAAGTTAGAGTTTAGGGACAGAACTTTTTTTGAAATACAGGGTTACAGGCAGTAACGTGCAGAGGGGGGGGGAGGGCGAAAGAGCATCCATATGGGGAGGGCATCCAACGCAAAGAGTCGAATCGAATAGTAGAACCCTTTCCGCCCTTCCCCAAGGTACAAGGCCACGGGCATCATAGAGATTGATCATCAATCAAGTTATCATTGCTGTATTAGGTTCGATGTTCTGCTGCACATGGAGATAAGGAATAATAATATTTTGGGTAAACAAAATGTTAGGATGGGGTAGGACCCTTGAGGGATGATAAAGGAAGGCTAGTATCTGAGGATTATAAGATGGCTGGGTTATAAAATTTTGCTTTTTCTTCTGTTTTTATTAACAAAGATTTAAGTAGTATTTCACGTCTTGTAGAGGTGATAAATGGAACTGAGTTCAAACAAGATGACTGCATTAATTCTGAACTGGTTGAGAAAAAATTGGGGAGTTTAGAAAATGATAAGATTCCTAGGCCAGATAATATTTCACCAAAGGTTTTGAAGGAGGTTAAAGATATGTGAGCCACTTACTACTATTTTTTATCAGTCCTTGAATAGTGGGCAGGTACCAGAGGATTGGAAGTTAGCTAATGTAACTCCTCTTTTCAAAGGAGGTGATAAAAATTGTCCCAGTAATTATAGACACATTAGTGTCACATCAGTTGTGGGAAAAGTTTTGGGAAGTCCGATAAAAGATGTTTTGCAAAGTAATTTAACAAAGTTTAGAATTTTATTGGATAGTCAACATGGTTTCACTAAGGGAAAATCTTGCCTTACAAATCTTTTAACATTCTTTGAAAAGGTTACTGCTTATGTAGATGAGGGTAAGGGTGTAGACTTGGTGTATCTGGATTTTCAGAAAGCATTTTACAAGGTGCCACCTAAAAGGCTTGTAAAACAAATTAGCTCTGTATGTGTGGGGGATAAGTTAGCAAATTGGATAGAAGAGTGGCTGGATGGAAGAAAGCAAAGAGTTGTTGGAAATGGAGTTCAGTAAAACTGGATTAATGTCACAAGTGGTGTACCTCAGGGCTCGGTCTTAGGACCTTTGCTCTTTTTGATTTACATCAATGACATAGATGAAGGGATAGTCAATAAGTTACTTAAATTTGCAGATGATATTAAGGTATTGGGCGTTGCTAGCTGTGAAGAGGATGCTGCTGATTTACAAAAGGATTTAGATCATTTAGTGAGTTGGGCAAATAAATGGAAGATGGGTTTTAATTATAATAAATGCATGTGGGTTATCATAATTTGGGTTATTCCCATCCAAATTATACTTATAATTTTAATAGTGTTATGAAGGAAAGGTATCTTGGTGTAATAATTGATCAGTGTCTAAATCTATCCAAACAGTGTGCTGTTGCTAGTGTTAGGGCAAATAGAATTTTAGGTTGTATCTATATAAATATTGAATACAAGTCTAATGAGGTTATAATTTCATTGTACAGGTTACTGGTTAGGCCACAATTGGAATATTGTGTTCAGTCTTGGGCTCCTTACCTTAAGAAAGACATTGAATTGTTGGAAAGGGTTCAAAGAATGGTTACTAGAATGGTGCCTGGGATGGAGGGGTTGTCATACAAGGAGAGGCTGAAATCTCTAAAATTGTTTTCTCTTGAAAAAAAGAAGAGTTAAGAAGGATCTAATTGATGTATTTAAGATTGTAAATGGAATTGATAGTGTTGATGCATCATCTTTTTTCATATTTAACAGTGAGAATAGCAGGACTAGGGAATACCAGTATAAATTTTAGGAAGGTAGGAGTCATCTTCAGCTAAGACAGTTTCACTTTTCTAACAGGGTGGTTGGCCTTTGGAATGGGTTGCCTTCATATGTTGTAGAGGCAGCAATTTTAAGTGAGTTTAAGAAAAAGCTTGATAAGTATGTGAATGAAAAGGGCTGGCTTTAAGATTTTTTTAAATCATTTTAATTGAGTTTAGAAGATGGAACAGCCGAGATGGATCAATAGGTCCCATGTTCTCCCAAAACGTTATGTTAAATATTACAATTAATCCAACAATATAACAATTACTTATTTATAATATCTTTCAATACAGAAGTTTTAAAAAATAAATCAAAAAATTCTCAGGAAATTGTGAATAATATTATTTACAAACATAATATTTTTAGCTGACTCGCATGATTCTACTTTTCAGTTGTTTAATTAATTTGATTTGTTTGTTGTTAAGCACAGATCTACATAATGGGCTATGTGTGTGTGTGTGTGCCATCACAAGTATTGAAACCTGATTTTTATTGTTGTAAACCTTCAGACTTATCACTAAACCACTGGAGGGCTGTTTAATCAATATATTTTAGGGTTTATTTAGTCACCTGAAATTAACATATTGTTACGACATCGGAGGTCACGTGACGCTAGTAACACGTCATGCACTTCTCGAACGTTCACGTCCCTTCCTGACTTCTCAAGAGCTTATTAGATTAAGTATTTTTGTATATATAAGACGGTCACAAAGTGACGGCAACAATGTGTAATTGAACTGAGTATTGTTGAGTCGAGCACGTGAGACGTTCATTGAGAATTATAGCGTTTGTTATAGCGCGACTGTTGAAATTAAGTGTATCGCAAAGTTATATTCAGAAAGTTTTATTTAAGAAAGGACTTGTGTCGCTAAAGTTTCGTCGGAACGAATTTACGGAAAATTAACTAAAAAACGGAGACGTAACAGTATATAAAGTAGAATATACTTTTTAGTTTGTTTCATGATCAATTTTCTCCTTATTTACTAAAACAGTTAATGATCCATTAATGACTATACCAATCTTTAAGTTACAAGTTTTGATTTATTAAATTCAATGTATCCATTGTACAATATTATCAGAAGCTTAAGTAACCTGGAAAATATCACTTATGTCAGTTTTACTGAGTATCTTAAATTATCTAAGAGTTATTTTAACTTATCTTCCTAATAATAAAAAGAGCTTAATATATGTCAAAGCAATGAAAAGATTAAAATTAAATAATGAACCCGGGATTGTTTTGGAAAGATCTCAGAATAAAAATCAGGCTTACTTAATAGCTTAATATATTCTGTGGGGTCACCAAAGTGCCAAAAATAATGAGGTTTACTTGATAAAACAATATACTCTAAGGAGTCATCTAAGTGCTCAAAACAGTCAGGCTTATTTAATACACCAATGTACTCTACAGGATCACAGAAGTTCCATATAAGCATGGTTAATCATTAGAGCATTAAATACAATAAAAGGTTAAATCAGTTTTACTGAGTATCTTAAATTATCTATAAGTTATTTTAACTTATCTTCCATATAATGGTTAATCATTAGAGCATTAAATACAATATAAGGTTAATTGTGTTATACAAAGTAAAGATGTCCACAAGCGAAACAGAAGGGGTGGGGGGCTGGAGGTATCCTACATTCATTTTCTTGAATGCTACAAGTGTATTTTTTTAAACCAAATGATCAAAGTGATGAAGACGACTAGGTTTCTATAAAATATTGCCTGCTTATCAGATTGTCGTGTGAGTCCTAAAAAAGTAATTCATATACATCAAAATATCACTGGTCTAATTCTTTAAATGTTACGAAGACCTATTTAAAGGCTAATCAAAAAGTAATTAAAAATTGCATTACTTACCTTTAATGCCATACATATAGTAAGTATAAGTGTGATAATCCCCATGCCTGCAAGTCCTATAAGATGTAAAGTTCGGCGTCCTGCTCTTTCTACTAGAACCAGAGAAACAACTGTCATCAACACATTGATACTTCCCATGCCTAGGGTAGCATATAAAGAAGTTTCTTTGCTCAAGCCAGCACTTTCAAAAATTTTGGTGGAAAAGAAGATGGCCTGTAGAAGATAGAGATTACAAGTTAAACGTCACCAAATATTTACAAGACAAAGAAAAACTCAAAGACTTCAGTTTATTACAAACTTTCCCACATACCAACAGTTTTCCTAGTGTTCTTAATAGAAATCATGTGACTCAAAAGAATCAAGCATACACTGAAAATAGAGATTACAAGTTAAACGTCACCAAATATTTACAAAACAAAGAAACACTCAAAGACTTCAGTTTATTACAAACTTTCCCACATACCAACAGTTTTCCTAGTGTTCTTAATAGAAATCATGTGACTCAAAAGAATCAAGCATACTCTGAAAATATGATGGCGATAATTAAGATCCCTTAAATACAATGATTAGTAATATCATCTCTATAAATTGGTATCCTCAACTCTTACTTTTTAATTTAAAAAGCTGTTAAAGTGACAAGATATCATTAATGACTGTTGAAAATATAATTATCTACACTTTATAGCTACTCTTCATTCTTCTACCTGTTTGATATACTTAACAAAATAGTTCTTTTAAAAACACATCTGTTTAATTTAGTAGTTTATCCAGACCAAAAAAAGAAAACTCACAACGTTAATTCCCGAGAGCTGCTGTGACAACATTACTACCAGAGAGATGAAAAGTGGAGTACGTAAAACAGGGTTGTTCCACATTTCTTGAAGCGTTACCTGTTACCATGGAAGTGTGTAATTAATTTAAATATTAGAAACATAAATGTATAATATTGTATTGTGTTATGATTCACCTTATATTACATATATGTATAATATTGTATTGTGTTATGATTCACCTTATATTACATATATGTATAATATTGTATCGTGTTATGATTCACCTTATATTACATATATGTATAATATTGTATTGTGTTATGATTCACCTTATATTAT